TGTCTTATGAGAATGGAGTGGAGGGTGAGAGCTATCTGCCTTGACCTGCTGGCCACCCTTATTTTGGTGTAGCCCTGGATATAATTGGCTTTCTGGACTGTGAGCACACACTGCCTGCTCATATCTAATATTTCACTCTTCAATATCATGAAGTCCTTATCCACAGGACAGCTCTCAATCTACTTATCCTCTAGTCAGTACTGATTTTGGAGATTGCCTCAACCCAGGTTCTGGACCTTGCATTTGGCCTTGTTGAAATTCATAAGGTGCACACAGGCCCACTTCCCAAGCTTGTCAGGGTCTCTCTGGATTGCATCCGGTAGACACCAGACTAGTTATTATTGGGTCAGAACCATCTTGTGGGGAGTGTGTGTGTGTATGTGTGTGTGTGTGTGTGTGTGTGGAGGGGGAAGGGATGAGTCAAACCTCACAGGGGTGGGGTGGCGTCCTATCCCTCATGGCAGGCCCCTGGAGCCCACATGGGGAAGCCCTGGAGTAGTTGTCAGTCACAAACTGCCTGGGAAAACTATAACACACCACACCTCCTGGAGCCCCTAAGCCAGGCTCAGATTGGCAGGGATAGTGAGGACACTGCCCCTTACCCTGGCCTGAAACCCCAGAGTGGCTGGTGGGTCAGAGACCTGCCTGGAGATGTTGACCATAGGGACCAGAGCAGGTTAAACCACAGGCATGTATTTGCCTCGTGTCTCGGCCCTGTCACTTGGACTTGTGAGAACTGGTCTTCTACAAGGTTTCAGTGGTAGCTTTCTCTCCCTCTTTCTCCTTTCTTCTTGCTCCCTCTGCTTCTCTTTCTCTGCTCCTTTCTTGGTGGTTAGGGCGGCTTGGAGCTGGATGGATTGGACCTTGACTTAGGTGTTGTGGATTTATTGCATCTTAAGTGTTGTAGATTTATTGGATCTTGATTTAAGTGTTGTGGATTGGTTGGATCTTGACCTAACTGTTGTGGATTAATCGTATATGCTGAGGCAGTATTGTGGTGCAACATGTTTGTCTAGCTTGTGTGGTGTCCTTTTGAATTTTGGTCAAGTTCCCTTATTTGCTCCTCTAAATTAATAAAGAAATCCCTTTGGAAAAACCTTGTGGCTTATTCTCTTGATGCTATCTCAAGGTATTAAAGAATCCTATATCTATATATTAACGTAAAACTCCTAGCCAAGCCCGTGAACCAGCAGCTCCTGGGGCTGGAGTCTTATAGCATCCCTTCCTTCTAACACATAACTGCATCACTCAGTCTGGTATCATCCACACTATATCGCTAGTAATACATTGAACATTATCTGTTCTAGTACAGAACCGTGAGGGACACCACTCATTACTGATCTCTATTTGGACATAGAGCTATGCAGCACTTCAAATGCAGCCATCCAGCCAATTTCTTATCCACTGAACAGTCCATCAAATCCATTTCTCTCCAGCTTAGTAACAAGTATGTTGTGTGGGACCTTGGCCAAGGCCTTACAGAAGTCAAATAGATGATATCCGTAGTCTTCTCTTGTCCACCAAAGTAATCACTCCATCACAGAAGTGCCACCAGAGTTGTAAGGCATGATTTCCCCATGGTGAAGGCGTGTTGGCTGCCTCTAATTATGTCACTGTTGTTCATATTTCTTGACAAATCTTCCAGAAGGATCTGTTCCACGATTTTACCAGGCACAGAGTTAAAGCTGAACTATGAATCAAATTCACTGTAGCCACATACACTAACTAGAGATGACAGAGAGAAAACTTCAGCAACTGAAAATCTGGAGCTCACCATGTTTATCTTGCAATTAGCAGTAAGTAATATATAGACATACTCTTACATTATTTACCTATAATTGGTGCTACTAATTGGTTATTGATTTCTCTTAAGCAAATGCAGTTGCAAACTTTCCGTTTAAACTGAATATGCAGTGGAGAAAAGTTGCTGTGCTGGGGACAGCTGAAGGATGCAATATCAAGCTGCTTTTTTGAGCCTACTTTTGAAATGAAGAGAGATTCTTCATTTTCTCTTTACTTTTCCTTGTCTGCTGCAAACTCTCAGTATCTTGCTCAACTCAGCTCTTTTTCTCATTTGTACTATCACGGAATTCAGTCATCTTGTTCAAACTTCAGAGAAAGTATTCAGTCAACGGAGAAAAAAAAAAACAATCAACAGCGAACTGGTAATATTTTTCTATTAAAGTACTGACTTGATCATATTCATCAGAGGGTGTGAGGAACTCCAGATTTTTTGACAGAAGGACAGCCTAGCTGTGGCAGAACCAAACAGAGGAGGGTAGAAGATGAGCAAAGAGAGGAGAATTGTAACAGTTCAGGCATAGTATGCAAATGCAGCCTAACATTCACTGAATGTGTAGAGAAACATTAAAAGAAAATTAAAAAAAAAAAAAAGAGAAAAAGAAAAAGGTTTACAGATATTTTGCACTAGGAAAAAGATGAGTAAAGAAGGGAGGGAAGTGAAGCTACATGAAATAGTTGTAACCAAGTTTCTATAACCAACTTGGATGTAACAAAAATGTGCAAAAATGGAAAGGATGAAGTTCTTAACATGTCTAAGACAAGCTGTACCTCCACTGACAGACAAAAAGTTCTAAACAGTTACACACTCCTAAAATAACCCAAACTACTTAAGTTTTACCAAAAGTAAAACACATAAAATTCTGGAATAACTCAATTCTATTTATAAAATAAAAATTGTTTACTGTGTGCTGGATTTTATTTTGATTGTGTTTTTTTGTTTGGTTGGTTTTTTGTTTTATTTTATTTATTTTAAATATTTACACAGACTTATTTTGTGTAGAAAATAATTGAATTTCAAGAATAATAGAACCCTGAGTTTTGGAAATATGAATTTTTTCCATGTATGCTCTTTACCGCTCTCTTAGACCTGACACTCTTTACCATGAAAACAAATGTATTTGAGGCTTTTTATAGGCTTCAAACATAAATATATGAATAGTGTGGCTTCCAGCAAAGCTGGGATCTGCAGGTTTTCACAGTTTGTATAACATGAAAGACCACAAATAATAGCTAATGAACTGAACTCTTAGGGACAGCTTTTTATGATCTTAACATTTTTCAAGAAGTTCTATAACTTTGTCAAAACCTGATGAATATAATTTTAAAAACTTTGAAAACTCCAGATAAAGAACTTAGTACTAGTACCATTGCTTAATAATTAAATTTAGTTATAAAAGAAAGGAAATAAAATGAAAAGAAAAAGAATCCCAAACGACTTGTTTAACAGATGGCTCTACTAATTTGAAAGTTAGGAGCATACGGTAGCTCTCAACTGCCCCTCATTAAAAAAGACAGTCCTCATTCTAGACCCAAATTTCGCACCAGCCTACTCATACCTGCTGTTCTCACATATATTACTGTAAACTATTTACATTAGATAAGATAAATCATGAAAACAGGACTGTTTACAAACCTAATTTATTTACTGGAAAGACTGAATTTCCAAAACTGTTCAGAATCCTACAACTTCTCTTCCAGTGAATGGAGACATCTAAAAGAAATTGGAATTAACCAATCCTTCTTATTCTCCTTTTGAGCTAGTGAGCACACAGGAATCTTATATTTCTGGTCCATTTCATAGAAGTTGAGTTGGTATCACCTAACTTAAATGTTCATACCATGGATCCCTCTGTCTGAGCTAATCAAAATAGATTTCTTCCATGCACAGTGGCAACAAAAGCGTACCTCTAAGTGCACTGTTAGGCTGGATTGTTTTAGGTTCCTTCAGGATGCTAAGAATTTTACCCCAGAAGTACTCGTTTTTCTATGTTGACCAGTCACATATCTAGTGTGACCAGCTCAGATGTAAATATTTACACTGTAGATTGGGAAAATTAGGTGGCTGGGCATCAGTCAGTTGGTGGTGAGCAGTTGTTTTCATTTGGATTACTTTTCTTTTTTGAGTTTTATTTCTCTCTCTTTCTTATTTTCCTTTCCACTACAAATTATTATTATACTTATTATATTATTACACTACTATTACTATTATTGCTATTATAATATTTTTAAACTGTTCTTATCTCAACCCTTGAGTTTTCTAAGTTTACCACTTCCAGTTCTTTTCTCCTCATCCTTCTGGGTTGGGGGGAAGTGAGTGAATGTGTGGTGCTCAGTTGTTGGCAGGGGTTAAACCACAACAAATGAGCATACACATACATATATTTTTTTTGTCTCCTGAAACACCCAGTCAATAACATTGAACCAAGTACTGAACCACGTTTTACCATGTGCTAAAGCATAGGCTGTCAGTCTGAGAGGCTTTCATCCTGTCTTGTACTACGTTCAGCTCCTCTGTTGTCACAGTGCAGCCAACCCTGCACTACATCTGTCTGGTTAGAATAGAGTGGGTTGATGTATTTTCAATGAGGCTTTTTCTTTAGTAAAATACTTTTTGTTCACACATAGCTCTTATATGGAAAGACATACATTTCAGTTAAAAATATCAAAATAGAAACTCTTAGGATATATGCGGTCATTTCACCTTCAATAGTCTGATTCAGAGGGCAAATTATTTGTCTAACAATTAAACCAGGCACTAATCATTTATTTGTTAAATGGTGGCCATTTGAAGTGTTTTCTTTGTCAAAATTGTGTCCTTTGGCAAACAAACATGCTGTACTATGCAAGTATATATGACATTACTGTGGCTATAGTGTATGCTGCTAGGAGTCAAAACAATGGCAGACAGTAAGAAAATAAGAGATGCAGTAGAGATTAGGCTGAGGAAGCTGGAGTGATACAGTTGTGTTGTAAACTGTATAGGGATGAGGGAACACCAAATTATTGCTGGAGTGAAAAGGCTGAAGTGATGGAATTTAGAGGATGCAAATCATCAATGTATACAAAGCTCAGCAATGATAAGAACATAAAAGGCATTGCATTAGGAATTTTAAAAAGTTCAGCTAAATCAGTATCTTTTTTTCCCCAGAAGCTGCCCAAAGCAGATGACTATGGAAAATAAGAATAAGACTGATATGTCCATTGAATATTCCTTTAATTTTCAGCAATTTGTACTCACAGATTGCATGAGAATGAGGTGGCTTATGCAATCAGTAACTTTCAGAGGATTTCTCTTATGAACTGGTCCAACCTTCATTTGTATCCATCTCAGCTTTAACAGCCACAGCTTTCCTCAGCTTCTCTCAGTGATCCTGACACTATCAGAAAAAATACATATTTTTTGGAAGACAAACAAACTAACAAATAAACACGCTAAACAACAGCAACGAAAAAATCCAACCAAAGTTGTAGCAGTTAAATGCCTGTTTTAACTGATAATCCCTGTTTCCACTGCAGAAATAAAGAGTAGAAAGCTGATACCTCTCCACATTTTCATTCTACACTTTGTAGATGTATGTCATAGTCTCTCCAGCCGCCCATTTTCCAGAATGAACAGCCATAATTTTGAAGTTCAGTTTAAGGAATCCATTCCATCCAACTGGTCATTTTTCACACTCTTCTGCGAATTTTTTCCCTTTCTAATACATCCTTGTTGAGAAGGAGGGATCAGCACTGCACAGAGTATGAAAGGGACTATTATACATTATATAATTATATTATATTTGGAGGTAATATACTACCATGGAAAACATACTATTATGCTCACACTGCTTATAGAATAACTCCTAATCCTATAGACATATAATGTCATTAATATATTGCACTTCAGAAATAGATTAATAGCGGATCAGAGACTATTAAAAATTATTTTATTAATATTGGTAGACGTGTCATGGATGTACGAAACAATTTTTTTTTTCTTAGACTGTACATTTTACTTTGATGGAAAAACAAACTACTAAGAAAATGTAAAATCTTTCTATAATTTGACTGTGTTTTCTCAGGGTTTGCACAGAAAAAATATAAGATTAAATTTGACCTACGACTCCAATAGTGAATGTAATCATACAATATTGCATCTTAAGAAGCTGTTGAGAGAGAAAACAGCACAGCAAAAGTTAATAGCACACAATGAAGCAATGGAAAAATTCACTCAACCTAGTAAGAGTGTAACAAACTTTTTATAGTAAATAGAATTCAGCATAAAATACACTATTGCTACTCTATTCTTTGTAATCTCTATGTTTTCCATACTACTCTTGTCATACTATTTTTTTGGTTGGTGATTACTGTTTTTACACTTTAATTTATGCTTGTTTTCTCTTTTTTTTTTTCTGTTTGCAACTGGATATTTTCCATTTGATTCTCTTCTGCTTCCTTCATCTCTGCTTGCATGCATACCAGTGCTCTCACCTCTTCATTTACTGTATTTTGAATAAGGTATTTTATGTCTTTGTACCCTTTCGTGTATTGACATCTTAGCATCCTTTTATATATTTACACCTCTCCTGTGTGTATTCAATTTTTCTAGTGTTTTGACCATTTCTTATTTATGTACTTTTCCATTCTCATTTTATCTTTAAGGACTTTTATCTCTCCCTTTGTACTCTGGATATATAATACGCATTTTATTTCCAAGTCTTTTGTTATTCAACTAACTTTCTAATGTGAAAATTATCTCAGAACAATATTAATTTGATTTGGGCCATTTTATAATTTCAATACTTGTTTTACTAGTCCGTCTTTCTCTCCTAGCACAAGGTTGGAAGCAAGGAAAAAACAGAAGAATGAGAACAGTTTTGTGTCTGTGTCATATCCAAGTGTAATAGAAAAAACAGCGTCAAAAAATATTGTCAGAAATCTGTAAAACCAAAAGAAACGATAGGCGTTTTTTATTTATTTTACTGTATTTTTACTGAGTTTGTGAAGAATCTTGGCATTCCACAAAGACGAGAAGCTCATGTGACAGGTTTTTCTTGATAATGGATGTAGAACAAAGATGAAAACGAAACCAAAAAGAAAAATAGATTTGCTAAGCAATGTGAAATAAATGAATCATGTTCTAAGTACTGCATTGCTAAAAGTGTCAAAACTTTTTAATGAGTGCTAGTTGGTCCAATAAATGTGACATCTACTGGTAACTCTTTGCTGCCACTGAAAGTAATAGCAACAAGCAATAGAGCCAGTACCTGTGAAAAGTTAAGGCATATTGCTTATTAAAGCAATTCAAACTGCTTTTACACTGGTCACTCTGTAGAAGTGGTCTCAAACACATAGTGAATCAATTTATATAGATATTTCTTTTTGAAGGCAAACATATCCTCAAGTAAAACTATGAAGCATGAGCATAGAGTAGTTTAGATGTGTAATATAAAATTAAACACTGACAAAATCACTAGATATACACGAAAGAAGAAGGTTTTTGGCTGCTGTTGTTATATTCTACAGGCAAATGATGAAAGTAAAATATTGCTTAGCATCGTTTTCTGAAATACCTATTTTAATTTGCAAGCCTTCCCAAATACTACCAGGGAAAAGCCTTTACCTAGGCCATACTTATTCAGGAAAATTATTTAATTCAAAGAAATTGTACTTTAAAATGTCTGGGGAAAAAACAAAAAAAGAAGAATGTGCCACAAAACAAGAATATCCTCATGGGGAAGAATAAATGTTCTTGTAAAGCAGTATCCTGTCTCCAGCACTGACCAGCTTCAGATGCTTGAGGAAAGAATTTAAGAAAAAGAACCTGTGCTCTTTCTACTCTTTCACCTCATCATCATGGCCAGTCTTCACGAGTGAAGATTTGGGAAAGGTCATTACCCTTCGAGCCTGCGCAGTGGATTTTTTAGGTGAGACACAGTGTGCGCTGAACTGAGCCCTCTCTTTAATCCTGAGGTTCATCTGCCGGGGCCGAGCGAGCTTGGACAGTGGCAGTGAGGTCCTCAGGACGTAGGTTTGTTTAGAGTGACCTTCTCTTAGATGGATGGCCTTACAGGGCTGACGAGCTCCATCTACCCAGGAAAGTCCCCTGACCGGGAAACGAACCTGGGCCGCGTCAGTGAGAGCGCTGCATCCTAACCACTAGACCACCAGGGGGCCCTGCTCTTTGACCACATCCTTATCAAAAAGGTGTATCTGGTGATAACGAAGGTCATTTGGTTGATCATTGTTAAGCCATGCAATGTTTAACTCTTATTGTTTTTAAAGGTCATCCTAATTTTGTTACTTCACTTGTATAAAGATCTCATTTCCTCCTCAGTAACTTTAAAGCTCATTCTTCTGAAAGTTGTTACCTGTGTTCAGCCTTCACTCTATGCCAAGGAGTTTTACTTGATTGCTTTATCTGGGAAATTTCTTTGGTTTTGTCCTGTAATATTTAAGAGTTTTTCCATTAAAGGAATGCAAAATAAATTGGCAGACAAGCCACATTTCTGTACAAACTGTCTGTTACCATCAGAAAGGGACTCTACTGCATCTACCCCAAATTACCTATCACCATATTCTTATTATTTATCATCATAGTATCTTACTCTTGACCCTCTCAGAACAGTTTGCTTCGTGTGTTGTTCCATGTATGTTTTCTAGATACCAGAGCCACCTGATTTTGGGATGTTTTAGCTAAGTCTCAGACACTTACAGAGAGTTAATGAAGAGGTCATTTGTGATATTTAAAAACACATTGCATCAACGTACAGCAAAATTGCATAACAGCTGTATAAATTTTATTATGCATTAATGAAGGTTGTTAGCATCTGAATAATTACGTAATCAGTTGCTTCATGTGAAACAAAATGTACTATTCTTTACCAACATTATTGAATAAAACATAGAAAGTTTCTTCAGCTTACTACTTTAAGACAAATGACTCCTAAAATTTTGAGGAAAAAAAGAAATATTTTAATCTTCTAAGACAACAGCATTATTATACTTCCGAAAGGTTTTCCTCCACTTGACCTATTTTCAAAATAAGTTTCTTAACTAATTCTTACATTGCTTAGTATATTGCATTGATTTCATGTGATAGATCTAGGCTTTTATTATATACATATATATATATATAAATACACATATATAGAGACATATGCATACATAAAGAAATACGTGTGTGTTTAAGTGTGTATACATACCATCTGTATCTGTAGCTATATGTATGTGTCTGTATCTGTGTCTATGTCTGTGTTTATGTAAAACTTCCTTTTGGCCTTTTTATGATCCACTGAGCCCCCTGCAATTATACATGGAAAACAAAGGTTGGCTGATGGCTGTCACTGAGGATGGGAATAGTGCTATCAGATACAGAGATGAGAGCAGGTTGGGTTGATTGTTGGATCGTGGCAGACCTACGATATTGTCAACAATAACGTGGCAAAGAGAGGTCTGAAGCAAGGAATACTCTGCAACCAGCTTCCCAGAAGGAAAAAGGAGCTTTTTCCCTACAAAGCAGAACTTTGAAACACTGGTATCCAAGACCGATTCACCAAGTCTTTTTAAAGCAGCTAACATGTAAAATGGGAGAACTAAATTCACATAAATATTTCTGATTAATATTTCTGGTTATTAGTCCACAAGAGTCACATATTTCAAGATTTAAGAGACCCTTATTTCAACAAATCTGCAAACAGAAGAGAGATTTTTGAGACAAAGTTTAAGTTAAAAGAAGCGGATATTGTGCAACACTTACTATTTTAGTAATATGTATAAAGTGCAGACACATAACCACATCTATACAACACATATATACAAATAAAATGACTGGTACATGCTGAAGGTGGAAAAGAGAACTTGTTAATTGCTTGTAGTTAAAAACAAACTTATTTTTAATCTTGTCACATACATTCATTTTCCCAGTGTGAATCAAATGTAATAAAAACCTGCAAGGGAACAAATGACAAAATCAGATTTTAAAAGTTACCTGTATAGCCTAACAGATGGGTCTTTGTGTCACTGGTGATATTACATTGTGTTCTTTTAAAAATGAGCATTATATTCTTTTAAATTCACTTATATTAAAAAGTATTATTCCTCTGATAATCACACAGTGAATGCTGATCTGATTAGTTTCTTGATCTGTGTTGCTACCTGGTAATGGAAAGAGAAATCAGGACTGACTCCCCTGCATATGTTTTACAACTTTTGTATCTCAGATATCAGTAACACAGAACATGTAGCCCAGGTGTTTGATACATATGGAGTTTTCTCTGTTAGTCTGTCAGTCACTGGTCCCAGGGCTGTGTCCCATCCATACAGTTCTGTGTTTTTCCTGTCTCACAATACATGCTGTGAAACCCTGTTAACATCCTGCAAATTATTGCACTGCATAACTGAACTTTATCTCAACTCCAGTTAATTAAATCAATAGTAAGCCCTGGGCTTTGCACAAGCAATCCTGATGGGCATTGACTGACAGTGTCAGCTTTATAAAACATCACAGCATAAAGCTTTGTATAGTAAGTTAGTTCTTTTTCCTTCTCTTCATCACAGTTGTTAACATTTTGGCTATATCTAGTGGGTGGCAGTGATTCAGCCAGGGTAGTAACATGGAGTGTAATAAGAAAGCAAAATGGCTTTATCTGTGATTGAATGTGCCTATAGACAGTTGTGGTGTGTAAACAGCCTTGCTGCTGGTAACAGGTTGAAAAAATTTAACCTTAACAACAAGAAAAAAATTATATTTTTAAAATCCCTTAGACAATTCTTTATAAAGAAACTTAGATGTCTACAGTGGCAGTGTAACAGTGATACCTTCCCTGTATATTTCAGAAATTCATTATCAATTATCCTTGTTTATAATGCTCTGGAGATATAACATACATACATACACATATATATATTTTCAGACTTGCAAAGGTGAAATAAGACACAGATTGCATCAATCCCCAAGAGATGTACTGCAGTTATTTTTCCTAGACACAGGAAATTAATTTGAAATATGAAGTTTCCAAATTCAATTTTTTTAAGTGATAATAAAGAGAAAATATTTATATTTGTTTATGTTCTACCTTGAAAAAATAGCATAAGAGCATAAATTAATATGAATATATTATTTTTTTTGTACTACACATCTCCCAGAACCCTGAAAAAAAATGAAATATTTGACTTGAAAAAAAGTGCATGAAAGAGAAAATGGCAATTAAAATACACTGGTTACAAGGGCCCTGTCATTATCCATGGCAGTAGCAGACCTCTTAAAGAATGCATGAATGTTTCAATGGAATAATCTGGATTGAAAAAAGAGTAGATTTTTTTTCTTCTAAAATATTTTATTGTATTTTAAACTTCTACTTTTAATACTCACAGAAAGCATTCATACTCCTTTTTTAAAAAGAATGGTTTAACCGTGTTTGATTAAAGTTTTATGATGTTCCCATTAAAAGATCCTATTTTCAGTTGGTTATAACTGACATAGTTTAACATTAATACTCTTATTATTTGTGTCAAATGCTTGTCTTAGTCTGATTTTGTTTTCAGTTTCTGGGAAGATTTCATCCTGGAAAGCAAAGCTTATTCTCTCAAGTTAAAGAAAATAGGTTGTTCAAATATAAATAAATTTTACATCACCATGACAGTTTCTTTGATAACCCAGTTTCTCTACACTCTGGAACTAATAGTTTGTTAAAGAATGTTTCTGTAATTTAATTTTTTTAAAATTAACATTATATTTTAAGCTGCACCTTTGAATGATATCTCAATTTTAGATAAAAGAGTCTTGTTAAAATTGTAAGTTGAAATTTTTAAAAATCCAATATTTTTCGAAACACCTAAGCCTTTCCTGATCATGGCTGTAGCAAAAATAAATAGATTCCCTTTCCAAAGCTTTTGTTGCAAGCTTCAGAGATGCAGATCATTTATACCTTTCCCCAAAGCACTTGATCATCTGTTCTCCAAAAAGGAAAGAGGAGGTGGTGCCAGTCTCTTCATCGTTACATCATATTTATGTTGTTTTAGACAAGAAGGGCAGGAAGGAAATGCATCTTACTTCAATGATCATGATGGTAGCAGGGATGCCAAAAACACGCAACTGAAAAGGCAAAGCCTTAAATCTTCTTAAGATTTCCAAAATGGGGTTTGAAAGCGGAGAAGAAATCAGCTGAAAGCTTGGATGGGACTAAAAAATGGTCCCCAAAAAAGAAAAAGTCGGAAAAATGGATTAACATCACATATTTCACAAGAAAGGAAACCAACTAAAATTACATAAAACACCCACAAACCCTACAGATGGACAAATATTTCCCAAATAAAAGATTGTTCCAAATTTTCCTGAAAAAATGATAGATTTTTTGGGGGGGGAAGTGGGACAGAGGAAGGGAGGTGAGGAAGGAGGAAAAATCATGTGGAAATGGAAGTGGAATATCACTGAAAAAGTGACACATTCAGGAAGAAATGTGCCATTCCCATAGAGTTCTGCTCAGCCTATTCACACTCACAGAACTCCACAGTTCTTTTCAATCCAATTTAATTTGGATGACTAAGTATTTTGAAATAGCAACTGAAATGTAGTAAAAGCAAACTGTCAGCCATATTTTCTCTGTCTCCTTAAGAGGGAACTGAAGGATAACAGGACACCACAAAAGTTTGTGTGGGAGTTAGGAAAGCATTAATGTTCAGAGGGGGAGATCAAAAGGACAGTAGAGGTTGCGCACAGACATCCAGCTGCAGGCGCTGGGCCCTGTTCCTAGCAGCACTGAGTCTCCAGCTGTGGGTATGGTACTACATGCTGCAGCATCTGCAAGAAAGCTGTCTGGTTTTATCCCCGCAGGAGTCTTCCTCAGGGTGCCTGAGGGCTACAAAAGAATCCAGGGAAGACTTGCTGTACTGCTTTGGTCCTTACACCATTTGGTCTTACTGCTGTGCTGATACCTGACACTGTCCACTCTCCCTCTGCTTAGCTTTATTCAGGACACAGAAAGCCAATTTATCTCAGATAGCTAATTTTTACCCTCTCTAACTTTATGAAAATCTTTAGTGAAATGAGCTCAGACAAATACATTTTTTCTGGGGAACTTTTCAAGGAGCGTGCTGTCCCCTTTTGCCTTCTAAATGCAGTAACTGTCAGTATAGTTATACTGACGAATCTAATCGATATTTTTTGTAATATTTTATCCCCTAGATTCCTCTGTGTTCTGGCTGATTGAAACTTAGGCTACTCTACAGCACTGCTGGTGGGCCAGCATCTTGCTTCTCATGGGTAAAATTCCTGTAATGTCTCTGGTAAAAGCCTTTGTCACAGGTGAAGGAGGTAGGGGAGTATGGGAATACAAACATGCTGCAGTTTGCTTAAAGGGCAGAAACATCTGCTTGAGTCATGAGTGGCTTGTTGGCTGAGTTCAGCAGGGGAGAATCTGGCAATTAATCTGAAGTGTCACTATATTCAATAGAGATTGTTGTAGAGGACTTCTGGGGACATCAAGGTAGCTCTCATGACCAAAGATTGCATATGTTTCTGTGGTTTATTAATTTTTAAAGACTTCGCTGCACTCAAATAGTAAACTTTTTCTATGAATAAAGTCTGCTTAGTGACTTTCTTCATAAATGGTGACCTACTTTGTAGAAATAGGTATTTCAGTATGGATATGGGAGTTTCGAAGAAGATTCATACACCTACAAATTACAGTCTATGGAAAAAGAGCAGTTATTAGCTCTTTAAAGGAATAAGCTCTGAGATAATAAAATTTACACCGCTTGGGGCCAAGTTTGCACTTTTGACTAATTGGAATAATTTTCATATACAAAACCAGAAGCAGAATTTGCCCTTCTTGATGAGTTCACTCCTGTTTTTCTACCTGTTGGAAAATAAGATTCTGCTCTGAGATCACCCTATAGTCCCTGGGCAAGTATAAAAGCTTTCAAAATACTATTTTAGGAATCTTACCTAATCTGAAATCCATTAAAGATTATTAAGTAGAGAAAACAGCGTATGGGTTATATATGAACAACAGATCTTTTTTAAATTTCAATTTCTCAATTTTTTCATCATGTTGTGCAGTATATATATCGTGTATCTCAATGTTGCTATATGCATCATGCAAGAGGACTGATTCAAAACCCACCTCAAACAGTAAAAATTATTTAAAAGGATTCTGGGTCAAGCCTTAACAGACTTCCAGACTCCCAAATATCTTCAATCCTGTTGCTTTTCAAATTTTTATTTTTATTGTTTTTTGGTTGGTTGATTTTTTTTTCTTTTTTACAGATACCTTTTGAAAAGGACCTTATGGACTGGATTTTTCAGTGAAGCTACATGCAAGTTTTTCTGTTGACATTGTCTTTCTCCCCCTTATCTGCATCTTTGTGGAACTGAAATGGCACAAAACCTGAGCCCTGGAACACATGGGCCCACTCCTGCTTTTCTTTTGCCCCTTGTGCCATGGACACAGACACAAAAGAATATATACGGGCAGTTTAGGCTGCGAAGGTCCCTGTCCTGAAGGTCCACTTCCACAACATGGTGGACCTAAAGATCTTGCTGGACATACTGAAGGCCAGTAGTCTGAACCTGGAAAACATACTTGATGCAATAGGAGCTTGAGCTAGAGTACCTGTTCTGAGAGGATCAGAAGTAATTCAGCCTTGCCAGAGTTTCTTAAGGGTGTGCTGGTGTTCCCCAAGAAAACTACAGATTTAGGTCATCCTTTTGGAGGCAAGGGGCTTGCTTCTCAAGGATAGTGCTTCCCAAAGAGTTCTCAGTGAGGTAGGTACAAATGTCTTCCTCTGGCTCTCTGCGGTCCTTTCAGTCCTTGTGCCCCCTTGCAGGTTGTACAGGGGCAGGGGAAGTGGCAGTAATCAGCCTGTGGGGCAAATCCACGCTGGGACAGCTCACAAGACTGCAAGCACATCTGGCACCCCATGTCTGATGATAACAGAGCTCCTCTCCCAGCCGCTGACCCCACCACTAAAGTATGCCTGTGTATGCCCCATCCACATGCTTTTTTGAACACTTCGTGATATTGTGATGACTCTGCTGTGCCCCCTTCTGAAACCATCAGGATTACTAGAAGTTTTCATTTATTTTCTTTTCAAATTTCAGTATCTTACCAATTTATCATTCAGAAATTTTGCCACTTTCTTGCTTGCTCTTTTCTTATTCTCTTCCTGACACCTATCTCTCTTTTTGACAGAAACAATATTCCTATCTTTAGTAAACATTAAAATTCTCTATTCTAATGTTTTGTAAACATTAGGGGACTCAAAGTTATTTTTTTGACTTATTTCATTTGA